GTACCAACATGGACTATGACCGCTGGGTCATCCCCAGCCCCTCCCAATAATCCATCCACTCTGTCGGCAACATGCCGGACCTGAGCACCCGGGAGACCGCAAACTGTCCAGTTGAGTCGATCAGAGTGGCAGATTACCCTATCTACTCTCTTAATAATAGTCCCCTACCACCACAACCTGTCTTGCCTTCCTTACATTTTGATCCCCACCCGTACTAGGGGGGCTGTTAGCTCGGCTGTTAGAAGTAACAGCTTCCTCTAATACAGCTACTCCTGAGCTGATGCTCCCAACATCTTCCCTCAAACGGGCAAATCTGCTAGGTTGCACCAAATCAGGACTAGCTAGCCCTTTCCTCTTCCCTCCCCCCCTGCTTCCTCGCCCCACTGTCACCCAGCTACATGCCTGTTCCCCATCTGTCTTATCTCCTCCCTCTCCACTACCTGTCCCCACTAAACTCTGCTCAGTGAGCAGTAGACTCCTCTCAAGATTGTCAATCTCCCTCAATGTTGCGATTTGCTTCTCGAGATCTCCAATCTGAGCTTCCAGAGAAGCCACTCGCACACAACCATCACAGAGGTATGGACCCTGGACGGGTACATCCAGGCATCCATACATGCAACAAGATGTGCTTTAGGAGAAGGTAACTGAATTGCGCAAAACTCTGCTACAGTTGCACAATAAAAGTCGCTGTCAAGAGGACTGCTGCAAATCCATTACCTTCTTTTTATATTGCATTATTTTGCTAAACTATATTCTACCATAATATATTTACAGTATATTTGTAAATGCTATGCTCCTAGGTCAAATGGTCTGTCAGCCAAAACAATTCAAAATCAGAAAGGCTGCTGCAAGTCAATTTCTTCAAGCTGTCTTAAAATGTCATACTGTTACAAGATTCAATGCATGTGAAAGAATTGCAACTATCGTATATACTAGAGTATAAGACGAGTTTTTCTGCACATTTTTTGTGCTGAAAAACCCCAACTCGTCTTATACTCGAGTCAATGTCTGTATTATGGCAACTTACATTGCCATAATACAGACCAAGCCCGGCGGTCCTGTTGGGGGCTGACAGAGAGCTGGTACTTACCTTTCCTGCAGCTCCTTTCAGCTCCCTTCTCCTCCGGTCCAGTCCTCCGGGTTACCGTGTCAACGCTCCGCACGGCACTCAGACCGCGAGACTTACAGGGGAGCTGTCCGTCACGGAGGAGAAGGGAGCTGACAGGAGCTGCAGGAAAGGTAAGTAACAGGTCTCTGCCAGCCCCCCTCCTAGACAGCCCATGCCACTAGACCACCAGGGAATGAGAGCCCCCCTCCCTGGCCAGCTAACAAGTAGGGAGAGGGGACAAATAAAAATAAATTTAAAAATTTAAATAGAAAAAAATTAAATATTAATATTAAAATAATAACAAAAAATATTAAAATAATAATTTTAAAAAAATAATAAAAATGCCCACCCCCCCACCAAGGCTCTGCATCACATACACAAACAGACTCTGCATCACACACACACACTGCATTCATACACACACACACACACAGCATTCATATACACACATTGCATTCATACACACACACACACTGTAAATAAATATTCAATTAATATAATTTTTAGGGGATATAATTTTATTTAGAAATTTACCAGTAGCTGCTGCATTTCCCACCCTAGTCTTCTACTCAAGTCAATAAGTTTTCCCAGTTTTGGGGGGTAAAATTAGGGGTCTCAACTTATACTCTAGTATATACGGTATATTTTAATTTATTATGTTTGATCTTTAGTGAAATAAAACTTGTTGGGCTTCAGTCTGGAAAGTTCATTTTTAGATTAATATCTTTTCTGTCTTGTTTATTGAAAACTATCGTTTTTAATAATTCATCACTAATCAACAGAATATAAAAATGCTTTATTTGAGGAAAAAAATCTTTTGAGCCATGTGCTCAACACAGGGTAATACTAATTCTAGTACTGTGATGTTTGGTAACTACCATCCCTAGTCTAAAACCTTGTTGAATCCTGTGCATGATACTGGATCAGGTACCTTGGCTTCTAGTTTTAATAAACTGTCTAAATGATTCAATACTGTGGGGGGTGGTGGTAACAAAATATTTATATATGATAGTTGTCATTAAAGTCTAACAGTATTCACCTAACTGAAAGAAAGGATAACCCTCGCTATAAAACACCAGACCTGCACATGTTACTGTTGTGACACACGGTGGTTATAAAAGCTCTAACTCTTACTGTTATATATGGCTAAATGGCAGACATAACAAACCTCTTGATAAGGCTCAATGTAAATAGTGCATGAACCATGGTAAACCCAACTGCTGTACACCTGTAGACACCATGTCTCACACCTCACTCCAAGGCCTTGTAGGGAAAGTACCTGGACTTAAATGTTAATACAAAAATGTACTCACTACAGTACTTATGTGTGAACAATTGTTTGTACTCACGTTTCAAGAAATGTTTTAATGGAATGTAACATTGTAAAAAAGCAATAAACACAAAAAAAGTCTAACAGTATTTGTATCATTTGGAAATCGTATTAAATGGAGGCCTATATTGCCTAGTGATTCATCTGTGTGTGTGTGTGTGTGTGTGTGTGTGTGTGTGTGTGTTACAAAAATATAGATTTTTTTTTTTTGATTTTTTTTTTTCTGCAGGTCTTCTTGTCGGAACATTAGATGTTGTCCTGGATTCCAGTGCCAGGGTTGCCCCATACCGCATTCTTTATCAATCCCAAGATTCCTTGACATGCTGGGCCATTGCTTGTGGTAAGCATTGAGGAAAATAAGTGTTGTGAATTAAATGCCACAAACCATTATTTGTATAAGCCATTGTACCACACAGGATGGATAGACTTATAGCGGCATGTATTTTTGCTAATCGCTGCTACTAATAAATGGTATAATGAAAAGTATAGGTGCCTCTTTGTACCGTAACCTGCATATTGAGTTATGCTACATGTTTTCAGGATTTAGGTCTGTTATTTTAATTCCAATGGGAGGTTTTTGGGTGTGTGCTAGTTTTGGAACCTGTATTGGATAACATCCAGGGCACAGCTGAACAATTCTAAGGATAGCTGTGTTCTTTCTATTAATAGCATCTCTCCAGCTTGCTTGCAGCTTTTACAAGTGACTCTCTGTTGCACTTGTTGATATTCATTGTGTTGTTATGGTGTTTTCATTGCTTCAACTATTTGTGTTCATTGTTGTTACTTTTCAATGCATTGCAAGCCATTCATATTGTTTCACTATGAATAGTAAACTTGGGGATCATTGGCTCCCCCTATGGGTGACGGGACATTGTGCAGTGTGTGTTTTTCATATCCTCCTTCCTGTGATTCTAAAGTATAAAACCAGTTGTACATTACTTGATGGTTAATTAATTACATTTTAAGCCATGTGACTTGTGATCAAAACCAGGCTGCAATGTTGTTTAATGTTTCTCTGTGGTTGGTCTAGGAAGCACACGGAGGGAGGTGACGGAGCACTGGGAATGGTTGGAAGTGAATGTTCTGCAGACTCTCTCCATATTTGAGAATGAAAATGACATTACTACATTTGTTAAAGGAAAAATACAGGTAATTTTCCCTACTACAGATATCCAAACCTGACTGTATTAGAGGAGAAAATTCTACGTCTACTGTCATAATGTTTCTGTGAACTCTTCTACTTTTCACAATTCTTATTAGTGACCTACAAATAGCCAACAATAAATCTTATACTAGGAACTATGTACCCAAGCCAGATTTTGTCTATGTATCTCAATGATAACTGCTTCTGTACACAGTGTTTAGTTTTAAAGTTATTAAGAGAAAAAAACCAAATAAACCAAAGCCACACTTATTTGAAACCCTGGATTCGTGGCTAGCACCTGAACCAAGGACAAAACATTTTAGCGTTTTATCGCAAATCACTATTTTGCAGTAAATTAAACCATAAATAACTATTGATGTTTACAAAACCTTAAATACCAATATATGTTATTCCTAATGATTTTTGTGCAGAGGATGCACTCTTTATTGCAAACTAGACTGTGTTGCTAGTTTTAAAATACTGCATGGAAATGTAGCATAATATTTTGGTTTATCCACAGCACAAACTTGCTAGTTGTGTTCCTGATTGTGTTCTGTTTTTGTTTGGTGTTTCATTTTTGAGAAACTGCAGGTGAGAAGTGAATTCAGTATTTGTTTTTTTTCCTTGTCGGGAACTGGCCATCTCTATAATTAAACTCCTAAACATATCGCAAAGACTATACTTCTTAAAGAAATACTATGCTGCATTTTGCATTTTGTTATGAGACCAGTGCAAACTTTGATGCAAACTCTGATTTCTATGGATAATGAAATAAAGATAAGCGCATATTTGGAGTTTTTCACTAAAGTCTGAATGTTCCAGGATGAGAACTGATTTAAAAAAATAAATAAATTTGCCTGGGTTAAAGGAACACTCTAGTCACTAGAACAACTACAGCTTATTGGATTTGATCTGGTGAGTAGAATCATTACCTTCAGGCTTTTTGCTGTAACCACTGTCTTTTCAAAGAAACTGCAGTGTTTGCATTACAGCCTCGTGATAACTTCACTGGCCACTCCTCAGATGGCTGTTAGAGATCCTTCCTGGATCATGGCTGCCTAAAATGCATCCAAACATTCAGTGTCTCCTCCCTCTGCATGCAGACACTGAACTTTCCTCATTGAGATTCATTGATTCAATTCATCTCTATGAGGGGATGCTGATTGGCCAGGGCCGTGTTTGAATTGTGCTGGCTCTGCTCCTGATCTACCTCCTTGTCAGTCTCAGCCAATCCTATGGGGAAGCATTGTGATTGGATCAGGCTACCACTTCTGATGATGTCGGCAGACTGCTTGCTTTTCTGAGTCTAACAGCATGCAGAGTTACGGCTTCAGTCTTGAATACAGTAAGATTTTGCTATATTTATGGAGGCATGAGGGGCCCAGGGGGGCTATATGGCAGTTTTAACACTATAGGGTCAGGAATACATGTTTGTGTTCCTGACCCTATAGTGATCCTTTAAGGCATTTGAAAACGAAATTTAAAGGATCACTATAGGGTCAAGAGCACAAACATGTATTCCTGACCCTATAGTGTTAACACCACCATCTAGCCCCCCTGGGCCCCTCATGCCTCCATAAATACAGTAAAAATCTTATTGTATTCAAGGCCGAAGCTGTAAATCTACATGCTGTTAGACTCCTAAAAACAAGCAGTCTGCTGACATGTGGTAGCCTGATCCAATCACAGTGCTTCCCCATAGGATTGGCGGAGACTGACAAAGAGGCAGATCAGGGGCAGCAGAGCCAGCACAATTCAAACACAGCCCTGGCCAATCAGCATCTCCTCATAGAGATGAATTGAATCAATGAATCTCTATGAGGAAAGTTCAGTGTCTGCATACAGAGGGAGGAGACACTGAATCACAGGATGCTGTGCACAGTGCTGCCCTGTGCTCTGCTGACAGCAGATCTGAGTGGGTGGAGGCATATTATGCCTCCATCAACTTCGAAGTCCCTCTGGTTCACTCTGAGTGACTGCAACTGGAGGTGTTCCTAGCTTTCAATGTAAACACTGTATTTTCTCAGAAAATACAGTGTTTACATGAGAGGCGCTGCAGGGAGCTATAGTTCTCACCTGAACAACCTCATTAAGCTGAAGTTGTTCAGGTGACTATAGTGTCCCTTTAACTATTTCTCACCATCTAGATTTCAATGCAGTCTATTTTTTTTGCTTTGCAGGAGTGCTGTTTGTGCTGCTAGAGGTCAAATAAAGCAAATTACTGTGGGTTGACTTGTAATTTTGCATAGTTGCCTTCTACTAGATTTGTTTATTTATAGATTTGGTATTCAATAAAATAAATGGGTGAAAAACACAGAACACCAGAATGGCTGCTAAACATTTTTAGTGAAACATTAGAGGCTCAGGATGGCAGAACCAATGAGACTCTCTTAAAAGAACTCCTATCCAGTTTATAGTGCCAAATAAAGGTATTCTGAGATGACCATGTGGCTGTTCTGCAAATCTGGTCAGATACTTGTGCAACAGTTGCCCGAGAAGGGTACAGAGCTTGGGTGGAGTGGACTTTGATACCTTGAGGAACTGGGATTTGTTTAGCCCCATAAGCCTTGGTAATGGATGAGACCAGCCACCTAGAGATGGTTTTAAGAGATGCTTACAGGCCTTTATCATTCCCATTCAGAGAAAATGAAGTCTTGAGGATCTTCTCCAACTGCAAGTTCTATTGAGGAAGATAGACCGTGAACCTGATCCAGGGTGTGAGACAACTATTCCTCCCCAGAAGATGGGGATGGAAAGAAAGCAAGCAAAATGATCTATTGGTTTAACTTTGTAGACCATTCCCTTGACTTTGTCACCTTTGACTGCATGTTAGAAATGTGTCTCTCAAGAGACCTCTAGCCAGTTCAGGTAATTCAAGTGTTCCAGCTCAAGTACACCTGGTGCAAGTAATTAAGTCCTTGATTAATTGCATGAGGTATGCTTAAGACCACACCTGTGTGGCATAGATGTGCTGTTGTGAGGGATTCTATCCAGTTGAATTTGGGTAAACCACTATAAGCATTCGTTGTATTGAGCTATTCCGATAGCTTTTGTTTCATTTGTTCATTGCAAATAGCTGAAAGTGTAACATTTTGACAATACCTTTTTTCAATGGGGGTCAGGGCAGGAACGTCCTATAGGCCGATTAGGCGGCTGCCTAGGGGGCTTCTTATAGCGAGCGCCGGCAGCAGCTTTACTGTTGATTTGGGCCACCCCCTTCTATGTGGGACACATTCTGTATTGCGTGCCAGAGGTCATGGCACAGGGTGCTAGGGAGCAAACTAGTGCATGGTGCCATCAATCTCAGCACACAAAGAGCACTCAGAGCCGCTCCCCCTACATACCTCATATCCTGGCAGCACACAGGGACATCACACGATTGCGGGGGCGGAGATGTGAAGGCAGCCTGGCCTGGACTGGGACTCACGGAGAGCAAACTTGAAATGAAAGCAAGGGGTGTGTGTCTCATCCTGTTTCAGTTAGTATGTTTGTGTGTGCTTGGGTCAGTGTATGTGTGTGTGTGTGTGTGTGTGTTTCTCTCTCTCTATCTGGATCTGTGTGTGCTTGGGTCTGTGTCTGTGTCCGTGTGCGTGTGTCTGTGTCCGTGTGCGTGTGTCTGGGTCAGTGTGTGTGTGTTTGTCTGGGTCAGCGTCACTCTGCGTGAATCCGTAAAATTTGTGTGCATTGGTCACTGATTCTGATTGTGTGGGTGGCTGTCACCGTGACCGCTACTAGAGTCTTGTTTAACCCTTCAAGATAAGGCAATTTTTATCTTCTGGGGTTAAAACTACAGGACCACTGTGGAGCGAATGGGACGGCCACTTTTTTTTTTTTTTTTGCCTAGGGCGGCCGAAAATCTTTGCACCGGCTCTGATGGGGGTTGCATAATTTTGATTACAACTGTAGATATAGAGAGACCATAAATAATTTAGATTGCCCTGGTTATGCAGCTCTGGGCATGAAGTTTATTTATCCCCTTTTAGTCCTGCTATGGGGGGGAGGACTGCTTGGCAGGGAATGTATGTCTGGCAGGCAGAGAGCTAGATTGGCCCACCTAGAAAAGTCCACCAGGACACCATAACTGGGGCCGATGGGAGGTGGCAGCAGCCAACCACTCCTCACAATGTTGAGGACTCTGGGCTGTCAAGATTTAGCATGATGTCATTTACTGGCAGCCAGCATGCTGTGAAACTGCATAACCATTACTGAACATCAGCTGCTGGCTATCTGTGTCAGAGAATGTGTAGATTTTTTTATTTTATTTTATTTGTGCAGTGTGTATATGGTTCAGTGTATCACAACCACATACAGCCAGCACTCACATACATGTGACATACAGTGAGCCTACACCAAACTTTGGCTAAGCACAGTCTGTACTCTCCACACACATGACGCACAGCCAGGACTCACTGTGAAAAAGGGGGAGACTATCGGAGGGAAGGGTAATTTGCAAAGAAGTTTTGAAAAGTAAATCCGAATGGCAAAACTGAGGCAAAAATATCCTGTTTTGGCCATTGCAGAGTTACAGAATTTGTGGCTGTTTTTGCTTTGTGTTTGTTTATTTATTTATTTTTGTTCTTTTTTAGATCTATTTTGTGAAAATTCAGAGTTCAGCAAATAGCCCTGTCAATGTCCAAGGCTCTTGGCAGGGGCCTGATCTTTGTAATTGAAATTATTTTGTCAGGAGAAGTAGATTGGGCAAACACGTGTAGCTTTTTAGTGGCACTCCAGGCAAAGGCTCCCAAGAGAACATACAGTATGGAAATTAACTTTTCTCTGTTTTGGTTTATCTTTCCCCCACAGGGTATAATTGCAGAGTATAATAAAATAAATTGTGTTCGAGAAGATGATGACACTGACAAGTTTAAAGAGACCATTATAAAATTCCGCAAGCTGTTTGGGATGCCAGAAGAAGAGAAGCTGGTAAATTATTACTCCTGTAACTATTGGAAGGGCAAAGTACCGCGGCATGGATGGCTGTATCTAAGCATAAACCATCTCAGTTTTCACTCTTATCTGCTTGGAAAAGAAGGTATGTTGCTTATAAAGAGCACCAACATAATCTGCACTGATGAACATGATGGTTGTTGTTTGAAAAGGATGGTGACTGAAGCAACTGTGAGGCTTGGGAACATGTCCCATCATTTTCAACCTACATTCTTCATTGATGAAGTGGTTGTGGTGTCTGAAGTCTGAATGTGCAGAGTTTAGCTATGAAATGCTGCACATACAAGGTTTAATTATTCTGCTGCCAGAGGGGTTACTCCACCTCCAGTAGTAGTGTTGGGGTGTAATCCATGGTTTTTGTTGGGAATAACCCAGTAAAGATGCGCTTTATCATTTTGTCTAGTGCAATCATATTGTATTGGTTCCACAACAGGGAAATATGGGCAAAATACAAGATGTGAATAAAATAATTTGTGTGTGTTATGTGATGTGATGGCCAATGTTACCATATGTGTAAATTGACAAATTACATCTAAATCGGTTTCTTAAAACCCCTTCTGCTCCAATTTTGTTTTAGTCAAATTGGTGATTCGGTGGATGGATGTTGCTCAGCTTGAAAAAACAGCCACACTTCTTCTTCCTGATGTGATTAAAGTTAGCACAAGAGCCAATCAATATTTCTTCTCATTGTTCCTCAACATTGGCGAAACATTAAAACTAATGGAACAACTTGCCACCATAGCCATAAGGCAACTTCTAGACTATGAAGGTTTTGAGCAGGATACGTCTCTTCCGAAACTTAAGAAAAAGTCTCCAAAAAGAGTGCCAGCTCTAAAACGGTGAGTTTGCGAACAACCTCTGTTTTCTTTCACCTTATTCAAGTTAAGCACTGTAAATGGTGTGGGAAACACTCTTAAGACTTCTTATAACGTTACAGTAATGCATGTTATTTTCATAGTGAACAAGTTACTTCATAAATGCGTTCTTTTATTTGTTTGGTTTTTATTCTGCAGGGATTTGGATGCAAGAGCCAAAAGCGAACGATATCGCACAATGTTCCGTCTTCCCAGAGATGAGAAGTTAGATGGCCATACGGACTGCACACTTTGGGCCCCGTATAGTAAACAACATATCTTTGGACAAATGTTTGTTTCCACAAATTACATCTGCTTTACTAGCAAAGAAGAGAACCTGTGCAGCCTTATCATTCCACTGCGAGAGGTGCAATTTTTTTATGGATGTGTCTATTTTATTTATTTTTTTGGTGTATTTTAGAGAGGCTATACAATTAACTAAATATTTTTCAGTGTACTTTGTGAGCAAATAGATCTTTAAAATTGCTCCTGATCCTTTTTCTTGCTACAATGTAATTGTCTCTGTTTTGGGAGAAGATGAGCATGATAAATTAGTTAGTCATCCATTAAAGGAACACTATAGGGTCAGGAACACAAACATGTATTCCTGACCCTATAGTGTTAAAACCACCTAGCCTCAATAAATATAGTAATAATCTTACTGTGTATACTGAATTTTCCTCATAGAGATTCATTGATTCAATTCATCTCTATGAGGAGATGCT